TGGTTGTGCTGCTGGTTAAGAGAAAAGCGAAGTGTCTATTTAATAATCGGAACAAGCACAATGTGTGACTCTTCGCGATATAAAGAGTACATGCTTAGCATGCTTCGAAGACGATGCATTTTTGTTCTTCTCGTCTTTTTCTCAACTGGAACGTAGCGATACAGCCGTAGCGACACAGCATCCTTCTCTGAGTGAAGGAGACTAATGATACAACAATTATGTTGATTTTTATTGTAGATTCCACTGTTTTTTGTTTGATTCTCTGTTGAAATCGTCCGGAAGGACATCCTAGCACACTCTTGGTGATGACCGAACATTTCAAGTCGAGCGTGACATACTGCACGGCACCGGCAGTTCCTAGCATAGAATGGATCAAATGATGTCGTAGTTTGATAAGACTCGCTCTCGTTCTCAAAAAGACCGTTTNTTTTTTATTCAGGCCATGACAGAAATCACGACAATATGATGTTCATGAAGTTCTGATTGGATCTGTATACTCGTTTCATTGAATTTTAAACCAACAATACAGCTACTATTGATAATAGACGCTACAGTGCTTTACCTGATCGTCAGATCAAGGGTTTCCTTTCCCAGAAAAGGGGATGACGAAATTTGAAGAATTCGACTGATGCCATCAAATTCAGTAAAGACTTCAATAAAACTTATCGAGCACTAATTCAGCTCTTTCTCTCCCACCAATGGCTTGTGGGGGTAGCAAGCCTTCTCTTGGGCAGCCTATCTCTGAAAAAAAGAGGTATGCCATGGTTGTGCGGCTCGTAAGGAGTTAGGAGAAAAACGAAGTGTCTATTTAATAATCAGAACAAGCACAATGTGTGACTCTTTGCGATATAAAGAGGACATGCTTAGCATGCTTCGAAGACGATTCATTTTCATCCTTCTCGACGTAATTTTTCTCAACTTGAATGTAGTGATACAGCTTCTTTCTCTAACTGACTGGAGGCGATTAATTTTACACTGTCTACGTTGATTGTTACTGTAGATTCCGCTGTTTTCTTTGTGGTCCTTCGTTGAAATCGTCAGGAAGGACATCCTAGCACACCCTTGGTGATGACCGAACATTTTAAGTCGAGCGCGACTTATTGCGGCACTGCCAGTTCCTAGCATAGAATGGATCAAATGATGCCGCGGATTGATGAGACTCGCTCTTGTTTTCAAAAGGAGTTTCATCTTGACTTCCCAGCCCTATTCCTTGATTTCAGGGCTAACAGGGTCGATTTCAAGTAATTACACCTTGCTTAATGAATGAAGGCATCTCAAAAACAACTTTTCGTTCACTTCTGTCTAGAGAAGAAAAGCTCAAATCAGCTGCTGATTGTGTTAATATTATTTGCGCCTTCCGTTGTATATGAGGAGACTTCTCGCTGTCCGCCCTAGCACGAACAGAATAATCAATTAATATTTTGTTGTGCTCTTGCTGATGGCGCGTGTCGAAACGATGAAAGCAGTCTGCAGCCTGCCAATCAAATGAGCTCGTTTGGCTTCTAACTGACAACTTTTTAACAACGTGATATTCATTCAGGGGGTCGGCCGACTACTTCTCATACACTAAAACCCACTGCAGTATATCACAGTTACTTCATTCCCCAAGAAAAACTACTGCCAAATTTACGTTATGCTACACGAGAACAGTTTGCAAGAGGAAAGGTGGGAGTATGAAAGGTACAAACTAAAATTTTTGTTAGGCCTTGTAGCTAACAGATCGTTCTGAGTGCAGCCAGTTGATGTGGGGAATTTTTCCTCAAGTAGCAAATATTTTCCATTTCACATGTATGGTCATTACTTAGTGAAACTTGGCCCAGGTTAATAGGGTGTAGGTATGCATAACTGCAATTGCCGTTCTCAATTAGTAGGACTAAAGAAAGCTATCGTCCATTCAGTCTCGTAAAAGCGATACTACAGCTCTGACTGCAGTCGTGACTGTCCGAGACGGTTGCTACACAACAACGAAACATCTCGTTTTGGACTTTAGCAGACAGACTCTCAAGAAGGAAGCACGAAACATATCAGTCAAGAAGGACTCGGGGTTATGTAAGAAAAATGAGCGTTCAGCGATTGGAGCCCAACATACTCAATGATCTGAGCAACTAGGCGACACTTGCCTGAACTTGCTTCTTTCTTCTCGGGTATAAATCACTCAATAATAGTAACGGCAGCTTATCTGAACAGGATAATAGAGCCCATGCGAACGAATGGCTAGCACGAACGTATGGTGACTGAAATGACTTTTACAGTGCACACCCCCTATCATCTCTTCAGAAAATTTCTTCGACAAGAGAAACTTACTGCCTAAAAAGCACCCGCATCTATGCCTGCGATGGGTGCCTAATGGACTAATTCTGTTTTCCCGCTGAGCTTTATTTTTCAATGGGACTTAGATGTGCTTTATCGCAATGAGAAAGTTAGCGAAGCTGTGGTGCAATGGGAGCGAGCGACATGCCACTGCCAAGGGAACTACAGGCGCGAGTCTTGATCATAACAAAGTCTAATCGTATTGCAAATAAGCCCAAAAATTTATCTCTGCGCTTTTTTACTGTATGGCAGAAATATGGGAAACTTATGAACCAACCTATTAATATCTAGGGCCTTCCATGTGGCCTATGAACAAGTTGCAGTAATTTGAAGGCATTTCATCGACAGTAGGCAACTCATCTCTGAGATTATGAGCTTTTGTCGTGGTAAAAGCTTATAATCTCAGAGATGAGTTGCTACTGTCGATGAGATGTCTTCAAATTACTGTAACTTGTTCATAGGCCACATGGAAGGCCCTAGATATTAATAGGTTGGTTCATAAGTTTCCCACGACCTTTTTTCTATGAGAACGTGCAGATTATGATATCCCAAACTCCACTGCCAATATCTTCTGAGGTATGAAAAGAGCTGGTCTTGAATCTTTTAGGAGGGTCATCATACATTGTTTTTCTTGTTTTATTTTGACTTCAGCATGTTCAATGATTTAAACACTTGAGTATGATCGAAAATCGGCTTGAGCATTGAGTGATGTAACATGCACCCGACGCAAACGTAATAAACCCATAGCTCGTACGCCTCTGGG